TTTTTTATTTTTGGCCTTATTTTACAAGTATCATAACATTAGTCAGTGGCTGAACGGGGGGGGGGGGGGAAACCCCCCAACCCCCTTCTAGATCCACCACTGTGTGTAGTATAGCAGTATTCTATCAGAAATGAATAAAAACAATCGTTTTTATTTGTTACGACTATTATTATAAAACTATTTGTTTTTATACACTCCTGATACTATGAGGAGTAAAATAATATCAGTAGTGAATAAAAACAAATGGTTTTATTCACTCCTGATATAACAACAATGTTACGCACACACGCACACACACGCACGCACACACGCACGCACGCACGCACGCACGCACGCACACACACACACACACACACACGACACACACACACACACACACACACACACAGACACACACACACGCGCGCGCGACACACACACACACACACACACACACGCACACACACATGCACCCAGCCACGCGCGAACACACACACACGCCTATACGCACACACTCAAGAAACCATCTTCAGAATTTTTCACTAGGCAGATAATTGTCTTCAATTGTACTTCCCACAATATCGTCTCAAGTAACCATTTATTTGCCTCTAGCTTCTTATCGTTGATATTTCTGGCAATTATCTCTATATAATCCGCTATTCACTATTCTTTTACTTCACCGGCTGTCCGGCCCCGGGTCGTTATAGTCGGTCCTACCGGTCAGACATTGCTTGCTGTGGTCGAGATCGGCCTGCAGTTGTGAGACGTGTTCGCGGAGATGGGTGGCAGTCTCAATATCGACGTCACGGCCCTCTCTCAGCACCTCGAGCTGCTGCTGGAGGATGCTGTTCAGCCTCCGTAGATGCTGATTCTCGTGTCGCAGCTTCGTCTTCTCAGCATCACTCGCATCTGCATGAAGCCAACGTTTGGGGGACGGGAATAATGTGAAGATGCTGAGTGATCAACAGCGCTTGTTAGAGTCGCATGCGGTGCGCAGTCAGTCAGTCAGTACACGAGACACTACTTTACTCGTTTATGATGAAGTCTCCCCCACCCCCACCCCGAATTCCCTAACGCTACAGCTATAAAGCGGGCATTTGATTGCCTATTTCTAGGGGTTATGTAATCGATGCGGCTTACGTTTTATGCCACGATGAGATCGGTTGGAAGAGTAATGTAGCCCCGTATCGAGTGACTAACATGTCCGACGGTTCTCTGGTTTGGTCGGGGGCTCTATACGGTTTCATGTTGGTAAGGTAAAGGCTGTTTGTATAGTTTGTGCTAGCACACCGTCAATGGACCGTTTATATACTGTTAGAGATTTATAATATATGCGATGCGATCACTGATGCGAAAGACCATCGCGCATATATACGGCGTTATCCTATCCCCCACATACACACGCACGCACGCACGCACATATAGACACACAGCGAGAGAAAGAAACACTCGCATTTGCACAACATACACACACTTGCCACGTTCGCAATTTCCTGCAGGCTATTGGGAAGTTCATGACACTTTTATCTAGTCATGGCACTAACATTGCTCCAAATGGTCGATCGGATTGTTGCAAACGCAGCAGCCATGCAGTTAGTGCGCCTGTTCTCGTGCTCGCGTCACATATTCTGTTTACGTCGTCGTTTTGTCTCGCGGGAATCGAGCGATGCGTCTTATAGCTAACTGTAATTCACACGTCTCCATATTGTGATGGCTAGGGGAGGAAGTAGCTTGACGTGTTCCTTTAACACCGAGCTGTAGTACTAATAACTCGACTCGTTATATAGAAGTGTTTAATCGATGTGCACACCTTGCCGCGCTAGCCGCAACAATTCTCGTCACATACTCGGCGTGTGCTTCACGCTCGCTTCCCGTTGCTATAGCAGCAACGCGTGACGCCATGTGCCTTAACGCTCCGCATTGAAATTCATGGCAAAATGCACGGCGCTTTCTCGTCTGGCAATGGAGATAAAATCAAAGTACACAATTGCTCAATACCAAATGATGGAGAGCGAGACAGGGGGAGAGAGTGAGGGGAGAGAGAAAGGGGACAGGGAGAGAGGAAGAAAGAGATGGGACAGAGAGGCAAGGAGAGAGAGAGAGAGCTGCAGATAGCAAGAGAGAAAAAAAGATATATATATATATATATATATATATATATATATATAATATATATACTAGAAAGTGGAGAGAGGGATAGAGTCGCGGCATGTAACAAAACGCCGTTAATATTATTATCGCGGTTGACATAATTACATCAAAGATGCTGAACAGCAAAAGTAAACCAACCTAGCGAGCAAACTATATAGCGAATACGATTCGGCATTCGATTTTAATCAGCATATCTATAATGTAATTATTACTTCATAACTGCGAATATTACATTTGCTTATGAAATATTTCCGTTATTTAATTAAGAGAGACTCCGTACGTATAATATGCGCCAGCTAAAACAATTAATAAATTATAGGGATAAAACGCAGCGTTTAGGCCATAAGAACGACTTTAAATACACGACTACATGCTATCTATGGCTATATTTCAGAATAAGTACAGCACGTACCAAGTAGAAGAACGCCTATTTTAATACCATAGTAATATTTAATTGATGAAAACAAAAGGAGAAACGTAATCTACTGTTGAGTTTTGGATGTGTCTATGATTATAGAGTTAGGGTAATGGTTAGTGCTTTAGAGCTTCGGAGTTCAGTGTTATACTTGGTTAGGGTTATCGTTGTGTTATAAACAGCAAAGCATTGTCATACCGAAGAATAGAGCAGAATTTGCTGAATTTTATCACGTATAGTAAAGTAATTATCAACAACGAATTTGTTTGCTGCGAAATATTTTACATAGAATAGATATTATACGAATATTTGCCCTTAGAATCCACGTCTATGTGATTTCGTCACATAATGTAATTTTAATAAAATGAGATTGCGGCTAGATGTAGCCGCAGCGACCAGAGATGTATTTTAATGGCATAGTTTAACAGATACGAGGTTTTAAAACCGGAAAATGTTCTGGATTTTACAGTCGCGAGTCTCTGGCCGTCGGGCAGACGGTAATGATCTGAAATATTGCACTCGCTTTGCTATCATGCTATCATGCTATCATGATATGTTCCGTGTAAGCGCGGGTGTGTTACGGGTTCTCGCTTGCAGGGTTATAGCTGCGAGAGTGCGAAAGTCTGAGGCGTATAGAATTGCTACCCGTCCCATAATTTTAATAGATCGTCAGCAAATGACAACTAAAGAACTATCAACGCGAGTTTTAAGTTATAACTATCAACGCACTGGCAAATGTATTTTCTTACACTAGAAACGTAATTAGTAAATAGATAAGTAAATAGCAACGTCATTATAAAATTGAAAAATCTTGTATTACTTCTCAACTGAACCAAATTCAAGGCTATTATCTTTAGGCTTCGCATTTTCTGTGCGCAGTTAATCCGTCCGCCAGTATGTGAAATACTGACATAGCGCCCTCGGGTAACAACGTCACTATTTCACATACGCAGCGTAGAACCATGTAGAACTGTTACGTTTCGGGTCCAGCGGTATGTTAGCATTCTACATTGCGCTCGCCAAGGTATGTGAACATTCTACATCAGTCAGTGCTGTATAGAAACGCTGGACATACGCACTACGCTGCAGTATAACCGCTCCGGCGATATAACATGATCTTTTTACAGACAGGCGTTGTCAATGCCATGTCGTTATTCGCCGACCGCACGCTGGTATTTTGGCAGCAATATAACGAAAGATAGCTATTATTTTTTAACAACGCCAATAATCGTAGATGTTACGACAGCATTTTACGACGTGAGCGAACCTGTGACTGATGCTCGCTGCATGCTCTTGGAGCTGTCGCATGGCGTTTGACCGCGGCAAGGCTGCGGTTCCCGCGTCTGCGAATTGATGCATCCATCCCTAGAATGATCTTTCATCTCCTCCTCACTTGCAATCTCCTCCTCCTCGGGGATCATTTCGGATTCTCTTTCCTCCAAGGGCTAACAGAGGAGTAAGGTGGGGGCCAAAAAAACAAACGAAAGATGAAACACATAGCTTACTATCACCAAGAGTAGATAATAACACTCGTGTGGTATTATCTACTCTTGCTATCACCTACTGACAGAGTAAATTAGGCAAAATGTATATATATAGATGCACTATAAGCACGAACATCGTAACAAAAGATTTAATTTTCTATAGACTCCACACATTCATGAATCGACTAGAGGTAAACAAACTCTGGTAATTGATCGATGGAATTTTATTTTGTACAGAGATGAGTTGTATATGAATTTCGCGCGATTATACTAATACAGGCATTGTGCATTTCGTTTTCCGATACACTAGAACGCTTTTCTAAAAAAACGTAATGCGATAGACATTATTATTATGTGTTTAAGCTGTTGAACATCATTTAGCGCTAGTTCCACTGATGCGCGTGAAACTTCATGTCGAGCGTTATCTGTCTAACAGCACGTGACATGACATGCTCACGTGACGTCACCACGATGACGTGACATAACATGCACGGTGTTTCTCTACAAGAGAGCGAAGGAAGCGTGAGTCGCTTGGCGTGTAACAAAGTTGATTTTACGATGAAAACGTCTCTTCTGCCCTAAAGCAAAAAACAAGTGCGCCTCTTCGAGTAATCTACACAGGAAGCGTGAAGGGTTTCCGCAGCGCTAGTCATCAATGAAGAGCTTGATCAGTAACGTTGCCTTCATCACCAGCACCGACCACACATGCAGGCTGCCCGCCGCTGTATCTGCCACACTGCCAGCATTATACTGCAAAACGCTTGCAACACTGCCAAGCCCACTGCTAAGCCACGACTGCAACTTGTTCTCGCAATAGGAGCTGTATATCGAGATTGTATTTGTTGCATATCTGCTCTCGTTTTGTTAGTTCATGGGGTTTATCTCTGGCATAATAAGCTCTGCAGCTCAGCATGGCTGACTGCTGTCCTACTAGTAACTAGTCCATCACGTTACAAGCGACCCCTCGGCGCTGAATCAAGCTTTTTACTCGTTACACGGTCGCATCACCACTGCAAGCCGGATGTATACGGACCCCGGGACAACGACAGACAATATCTAGCTCCCGTCGATATGTGTCGGCGGGAATTGCTGAGTCATTTCGGAAACATAACCACTGCGGTATAATTACGAACATTTAACATGCGCATCCTGCATGGATAGTTCGACTATATAATAGGAGGGCATCCAGGCAACGCCAACCCACAGCTATGATATCCAGTCATATCGCCTGTAAATCAACAAACGCACGTAATAATGACAACGTCATCTCGCCGCGCAATTTGAAAATCGCCCCCAGCGCTACGAGAGAGTCGCAGCTCCCGCCTGCCGCTCTTAATTCTCTCACCATCGACAGCTATATACATGAGAACAGCTACATACGTACATCGATATACCCAGGATTGTCCTCGCTAGCTGCGGGCAGACACGCTCTCAGCTCCCTGACACAATACCGCACAAATAAAAGCCAGCTGTGGCATTCTGATAAATGAGATATCACATTTTGGCACTTGGAATGAACGTCGTCGTCGTCGTCGTCGTTGTCGGCTGTACGACGAATCGACTCACGGGAATCTACGCCGTCGCCGCGTTTCTCCGTCGACCGAACAAAACCGTCTTGAGGAGACGAGCGACCGTCGTCCGAATATCAACGTCAATATGCCTCGGCAAATCCTTCACGATCCGACATTAGCAATAATCGCTGTCGATTAAATATTTTCTTAAAATTTATATATTGACTCGACTGATAAGGTGTCGTTTCGATGATGCGTCTGCAGATAAGTACGTCAGTGTCGCTGCGTCACGCTTAGCCCTGCGTCACTGTACTAGCGCTGCGTCACGCTTAGCCCTGCGTCACTGTACTAGCCCTGCGTCACTGTACTAGCGCTGCGTCACTATACTAGCGCTGCGTCACTCTACTACCGCTGCATCACTGTACTAGCGCTGCGTCACTGTACTAGCGCTGCGTCACTGTACTAGCGCTGCGTCACTGTACTAGCGCTGCTTCACTGTAGTAGTCCTGCGTCACTGTACTAGCGCTGCGTCACTGTACTAGCGCTGCATCACTGTACTAGCGCTGCGTCACTGTACTAGCGCTGCGTCACTGTACTAGCGCTGCGCCACTGTACTAGCGCTGCGTCACTGTACTAGCGCTGCGTCACTCTACTAGCGCTGTGTCACTGCACTAGCGCTGCTTCACTGTAGTAGTGCTGCGTCACTGTACTAGCGCTGCGTCACTCTACTAGCGCTGCGTCACTGCACTAGCGCTGCGTCACTGTACAAGCGCTGCGTCACTGTAGGAGTGTTGCCTGCATTGTCGCTGCGTCCGCATACACGGTGTCTTTAGACGCTGTAAGTATGAGTGAGGGTGGTGATGGACTCCCTCAGCGTACTCACAGCCGCAAGGGCTGTTACTCCATCATTTAGTGAGCCAGCGCCGCCTCGACCCCTACAAACCTCGGCTAAAGTCTAATGTATATATATATATATATATATATATATATAGAGAGAGAGAGAGAGAGAGAGAGAGAGAGAAGAGAGAGAGAGAGGAGGAGGAGAGAGAGGAGGAGGAGGAGAGGAGGACACACAGCACCACAAACGCGCGCGCGGCGCACACACCTACCATAAACAACACACAACCAACACAACACACCACCACACACAACACACAACACACACCACAACACAACACACACAACTCTCTTCTCCTCTTTTCTTCGCGCGCTTTCTCTACAACATAGCACTCTTCTCTAACACAAATACGCCCTCTCTCTTCTCTCTCTCTCGGTCTCTCTCTCTCTTCTCTCTCTTCTGCGCGGCATTGCTCGCGCGCACGCTCTCTATCCTCAAACACATAACGCCCTTCTCTCTACACACTACGCCTCTGCTCTTCTCTCTCTCTTTTCTTTGCTCTCTCTCTCTCTCTGCTAGATTCTCGTCTTCGCTCTCTCGCGCACTCGTGCCAATTTCTCAGTTCTATTTTTCTTTCTCTCTGCTCGTATAATCATTCTGATGTCTATATACTCATTCTCTTACTTCTCTGATACTCATGTTATCATCTATGTGTTAGGTCTATTTGCGTATCGCTCTCTCTGTGGATTGCTTCCGGTCGACCTCACAGGGCTCCATAAATTACACTTGCTCCCTCTTCTCATTGTATGTTCTACTCTCTGTTTTCTCTCATTCGCGTTATCTCTGCTGTCTTGATTCGGTCTATCTCTCTTTTAGCTTCTGCTTATCTCTGTCCATCTCATACTCAATAACGTCCTCAGGATTAGGCTGATAATTAGTTTTAACATACATATTTTACTGTTAGCTGATGAGAGTGTTAAGTGCTCTGGAGAGTGTCGTCACGTGTGCGTACATCGCCTGGGAGATGTGCTCGTCGACTCACTGGCTCCATAAATTAACCTTGCTACGGCTATGTTCTACGTGATATTGTGTTCTCGATATAGTTCGTGTCGAGATTGTGAGTAATACTATGTTACAGTCGTGGGTTCAACGTCGCATTCAAAATAATCCACTCTTGGATGCAACATGCTAAGGTCTAAAGAACTTTGATAGTTATGGCGAGGAGTCGCGCTAGTAAGACTCATTGATTTTAATTGCTCGACTACTTCGTTACTAATCAGTTGGTACGCATGTCGCTTCTCGTAGCTATAGTGGCGCTCAAGGCTGCGTCCAGTTTGGCAGATGTGCTCGCTGCGGACATGAGAATATGTGCCCATAAATGACATTGCATCTAGTAAGATGATATAGGTCTATCTAAGCTTAGTACTCGGCGTGTAATGTGAGCTAAGCACTACTTACTCGTGCTCGCTCGTTAGTTGCGAGTGATCGCGATTAAAGTAGGCGTGCGCTCAGGCGCTAGTACAAGGTGGAATCGCAGCGGATACCTTGTATTGAGTCAGCGTCTAAGCTACAAGTAGTAATTCTGCACTATCGGCTTTCAGTGAATCGTTATCATTAGTGATCTGCACAGCGCGTAAGTATAGGGGGGTACGATCCGCGGTTCTTGTAGGCTGGAACGTGGCTGGCGCTTCCGGAGTACTCGAGCGCTCAACATGAGCGCGCAGTGCCATAAATTATAGGCAGCTGACCTTGCACGCTGATAAGTCTCGTGTAGTATTTTCGTCAGCGCTTGTTATACTCATTTGCACCGCTCCTGGGTATGAGCATCTTCATCTGGTAATCGAATCAAAGTAATCTAGGATGAAAGGCTACGAGTGTAGTAGTGCTGCGCTATATTTATTTTCTGACTCATGTTATCATTAGCTGTCTGACTAGCATGGCGTAGTATCACAGTCGACTCGAGCCTGCTTAGGTCGTTGACGATAGCTGCTCCGTACCGAACGCTGACCCGAAGGCTTAAGATTGCTCGCTCACGATGGACGACGCGTACTATGGACACGTGAAATTGTTGAATAATGACGGTATTTTTGTCAAGTTTTAGTTGCGCCGTCAGTGAACTGCACGCGCTTTGATTTATCTATATAGATGATCGCAGAGGTCGTTAAGCTTCGTGATCGAGATGGGTAAAAAGCGATTTTAGATTGTTACAAACTGCATATAGTGTAGTCTTAAGGAGACTCTGTCGGTCAGCATTATAATAGTAACTAGTAGACGTCGGGGATTGCTCTAACGCGGTGAAGCAGCGAACTGAGTATCTTATTGTCAGACGGCAATTAGTTCGACGTACTACTATCTCAGTCGATGTGTATATGAGTATTAGAATGTATAGTTTAGCGACAGCTCCGCTCTCTGTATTGTGGATCGGTGAGGATTGCGGTGCAACACATTTCTTCATATTGACTCTCGATATGTGCTTCGATCAGTACGGGTATCGTCTTTGTGCTCTCAAGACGGTTTGTTCGGTCGCGGAGACGCGGGCTCGATGTCAAGGCTTATATTCGGTCAGGTGTTGACATGTTTTCGATCTGTAATCGCATGCAAATAACTACTCAGAGAAATGCATTTGATGTGTACGTATATAGCTTCTATTCTGTTGCGTCCTATATATGTCGTTTCAGGTCTCTGGTAGTACGTAGTACTGGCGGAGACGACTAGCGCTTTGTGTGCAGAGATGTGTGACAATCGTCGAGTTCTGTACCTTTATATCAGGATGTGGCCATGCTCGCGTAGTTTATATGTGGCTCTCCACGCGTTGTCTGAGTTCAGGTGGGACTGAGGGCGTGTTCTGCGCTCAGTTACGCTCGCAGGACAATCCTGTATATGTGGCGTCATGTATCAGATATGCATTTCGATTCTCGCTTAGTGATGTCAGGTATCAAATTAGCTGTCTCGAGATAGATGTGAGGAATGAAGGTGCTCAGGCAATATGATGTGGTATGTTCGCTGCGGCTTATATCGTAAGCTGCTGGTGGGCGATTTTCAAATTGCGCTCAGCGTGATGTGACGTTCTGTCTAGTATTGTTAGTACATCGGCTGGGGATTATGTGGACAGTGTTGGGGATATGCACTAGTGGTTTTAGTGAGGCTGCATAGCTTGTCTCGAGGGTCTATGATGACGTAACGCTAGGTGAGGATACCCTATGTGCAATGAAAGGGTATTGCACATCGATGCGTCATTATACGCCTAGCATAGCCTAAGATTGAGAGTCTAAGCCAGTATATATTTAATATTGATATATGTACTTATGCTCTACTATATAAGGCATGATTTAGATATATTTATTTCTGACTCATGTGTAATCATTATGTGTCGGTATATGATGTACTCGGCTTGGAGGATATTGTGCCTCGTGCGAGATGCCCATTCCAACTATGTGTCTTTCATTTAGTCTGAACATATCTATTGGAGGTAACATGCGCTAATAGTTTAAATAGATGTTTGTTCGTATCCTCTTATACGTCTCTCTTAGAGTGGGTTGTATTCCGTGAGTATGGAAACATATTCTAGCAATTCCCGCCGCAATATCGACGGGGACTAGTTGTATTGTATGTCTAGTTCAAATAATCGTAAGAGAGTATCAGCATGATGTTATCATTACATAGCTTGCACTTAGTAGTGTTTGATTCGCGATCCGCATTGTTATACGGATGTCATAATGGCGTTGATCTCGAGGGCTATATGACGTCACATCGCCTTTTGAGGTGCTGGCGTCGTCTGTGTCATCGTCGAAATGTGATGGGCTCGTTCCTCATGAATATTGGGACACAGCGCCGTCGGTCGCATGGCTTGAGTTTGATCGCTCAGAGTGGTTGTCTCTTGATTGTTGCCAGAGATGAAATTCGCGATTAGTCGTACGACTATATAAAACATTTATCGCATGGTGAGTCGCAGTCAGATAATTAGCATACCCTCAAAGAGATAGCAAATTCTGAGATTAGGTAGTCTACCATTATTGCTCCTTTTTCTGATTCATGTTGGAACTCAAGTATTGCTCGGTCTGGTGTGCGTCTGTGATGATCAGTGGCGTTCTTCGCCAGTAGTATTGCGCAAGCGTTTTGCGTATTAATGCTGGCATGTGACGTCCGCAAACTCAACATGTGCTTGTCGGCATGATACAATGCTACACTGCTGCTAATGCGACTGTGACTGTTGTTCTCTAATGTGTATATTCGCGTCCATCGCGGGTGTTACATTTCATCTGCTGAATCGCATCAATGATCATGGTAGATAGCAACGTTACTGATCACGCCTCTCTTATCTCGCATTGACTAGCGGATGGGAAAGCCTTCAAGCTTCACTGTGCTAGTTTTACTCTCGAGGTAGGTCGACTATGTTTTTATTTTGTATTTGTTAGGCTGGACTCTAGTATAGAACTGTTTTTTGTTCAATGCTTGTATAGACGTATCTAGCATTGTGATGTGATAGTGCGCACTGCGCGACTCGACGCTCTTACCTCAGTGGTCTGGCTGTTCCATAAGATATACAAGCTGCATGTTATTTACGCTATCGTCTGGTGACGGTCAGTAGCTGTCATGTCCACGTGCTGTTAGAAGATAGCGCTCGACTAGTTTCACGGCATCAGTGGAAACTTAGCGCTAATGATGTTCACAGCTTTAACACATATATAGATGTCTATTTCGCATTGACGTTTTTTTAGAAAGGTTCTAGTGTATCGGAACGAAAGGCACTGCCCTTATAGATATATATGTATCGCTGGGATATTCTTTTATCACTCATTCTTACTCATTTC